GTCTTAGGAAGGGCTACCAATACTGACCTATGAACTGGAGGGATCAGTGTTCACCTACAGGAAATCTTATCCATAAAAACTCATTTTTATTCTTATTTTATTCTTTTATTCATTTCTAATTTTCTTTTTAATATTGTCATTTTGAAACCACTGAAATATGATGAAATAGTTAAATAAATGATTAAAAAGAAGAGCAACAGAATAAAAACAAAAATCAAACTTAACCCACTGAGTGAGTTCTTCTGTTTTCAGAAGACGAAGAGGGCACCCCATGTGGTCCTTGAGGGCCCCTTGGTGCCCGCGGGCACCGCGTTGGTGACCCAGGACTGGATTTTCCCAGCCCTGGCTTTAGAATAAGCATGAAAGGAAGCACACTGTTGTAGTTGTTTAAAAGAACCACTAGAGGGAGGCAAAATATCACATTATCAGGATATTCTAGTCGTGTGTCCTCTGATAAACTGCACCATTGCAACCACTGATCTTTAACATAAGAGTCAGTCGGTGCAGGCACGTGGATGATGCTTTGACATGAACAGCTCATCCACTGATGTGGTTCCTCTAAGCAAATTAAAACTGAATGTACTTACTGAGAGCCTTAGCATTAACAGGGGTGGATTTAGGAAATTTGGGGCACAGGCATGGGGCCCTCTAAATTGAGGAGACTAAATAAAACAAACCCATTATACAGATAGAGAAATTTATTTCTCTATGTGTATAAATTATCTGTTCTAGGTTCTGTCCCTCTCTTCTTGTCCCTTTTCTTCTTGTTTTCCTCTCTATGTTTTGTACTCAGCTGACTTTTCATGCTGTCTCAAAAACAATGAAAGATTTTTTCCAAGCACTAAGCTCACTTAGCTGATTGCTCCTTCCTGTGTTTCCAAAAAGGCCAAAGTAAATAACCCAGTCCTTCTTTTCACTGTAGACAAGCCATGATCTGCTTATCTGTTCTCCATTTTTCATTTGGATTAAAAATAGCTGCATGAATCATGACAGCAGACAAGATAGAGGAGAGCAGGAGGCGGGGTTACCAATCTACTTGCTCTGGAGAGCAGAGTTCGATGCTTTTAGATGTTGTCTCCAAAGTCTCCAGTAGCAGAAAAAAGTCGCTAGATTTGGTCCTGGACACCTGCCTAGTATTGCTTAATGGTGAATCCCCTTCTGACCATGAACAAGCAGGAAACGGAAGAGGAATATATTTAAAACTGCACAGCTCCTTTGCCATGACAAATGCTGCTATTATGCTTCAGAGTTAAGCAAATGATTTCTACACTATATCTATGTTAATCTGATTAGCATGATTGCTCCCAAAACGCAGTTAATTCATTTGTGTCAGGTGTAATGAGAAGACATAAGGATTGGCCAAGTGTTCTCGATGAAGTAGCATTTGAAGATTTCCCTGACCGTAGTACAAAATTATAATTTTGAGATTTAAGTCAACACTTTGAATGATACACTAATATGATGCTGGAAAAATATTGCTGTATTATGGAATGGTCTCAGGAGGCAAACAATACTCATGGAAGTGCTGAAGTTCCAGATGTTTAGTTGTCCAGTTATCTCAGTCTAAAGGGGCATTAGTAAAAAAAATAACTTGTTCCCAGTCCTGCGCCTAGTTCTGGTACTTTATGTCATGTTTTCACTGAAAGAACCGGATACTTGTTGTGATTAATATGTGTGGATAGAAACTAATCAACGCTTGATGTCGTCCCTGAACAAGCTCTGAAATGGTGTGGTAAACTAAATTGAATTAAACTTGGAACAGAGTTAGAAAACCATGCAATAAACAAGCCACTGTAGTTCAAATTGCTGAAGAAAACCATGTCGGTTCTGATGAAACAGTGTCAGAATAGACAGTAGGCTGCAGAGCTCTCAGGTAGCCCATGCTGACTCCTGTCTTCCATCCAATGTACCAATAGTAGGCGTGCAAACATTAGAATTTGAGCCAGAGAAAAATGGTGACCTGGTCCTAAAAAAATATCTAAAGCAGATTGATGGTTGGAGGTTGGGGTCAGATGTGGGTCCTGCCACCTAGGTGTCAGGGTTGGTTGTGGTTTAGGACCCAAATGCAGAGGCTGAGGTGATTTCTTGTGGATTTAATCGAAGGAAAACAAAGCAGGAATGCAAAAATCCATCTAATAAAGAAAAGCAAACCAGAACTATGGAGACATCTGGGGAAACCGAACACTAGGAGCCAGGGAGAGACGAGGTAGGTGGACAACAGCATGGGAGGACAGCAAAGACAAGGAACCAACAAAGAGTGAGAGCAGAGGGAGAGTATATATAGCTGACAGAGACAAAGGGAGGGCTAACGAGCAGACAAGGAGCAAGAGAGGAGACAACGAGGGAGCCAAGGGGAAATGAACACACACACAAGAGGGAAACAGAGGACAACAGAAAAACATGAGAACTAACATAAATCTACCGGAATTAAACCAATAAATCTAGAAAACAAGAAGCAAAGTAAAGAACAAAAGAACCAAGATGACACTAGGAGGAAGTTTGTTTGACATGATTCACGGCATGCAGAAAACAGTGCAAACAATTTTACGTGATCTGTATTCGGATATGTGGACTAACAAGGTGAGTAAATAGAGGCAACACCTCCCCATTTACAATCAGGGGGGGATTTACCATTAGGCAACATTAGGCAGTTGCCTAGGGCCCCAAGTTCCTGGGGGCCCCATAAAACTCTGTTTACATGTATGGTTAATACAACTATTCCTTATTTGTGCACATTAATTATGTTTTTGATAAAAATCCTTTTGCTAAAATGCCATCAGAACGCTTAGAATATTAAGTTTGTTTTAGGACTGGGTTATTTACTTTTGCCGTCACCTTTTTGGAAACACAGAAAGGAGCAATCAGCTAAGTGAGCTTAGTGCTTGGAAAAAATCTTTCATTACTTTAGAGACAGCATGAAAAGTCAGCTAAGTACAAAACATAGAGAGGAAAACGAGAAGAAAAGGGACAAGAAGAGAGGGACACAACCTAGAACAGATAATGGATGTCTGTTCTATTAACATTTCTCTATCTGTATAATGGATCTGTTTTATGTGTTTTCTTCTCAATTCAGAGGGCCCCCTGCCTGTCTTTGCCTAGGGCCCGGAATTTCCTAAATCCGCCCCTGTTTACAATTCCAGATTGACGTTAAACATAGACTTAGACTCAACTTTATTTCTACGTTGGGATTACTCCTTCAGGGAAATTCTATTCGATTCAATTCAGTTTATTTCTATAGCGCCAAATTCACAACACATGTCATCTCAAGGCACTTTACAGTTCAACCAGATCATACAGTCAAATTGATACAAAGTTTTCTATCTAAGGAAAACCAGTTGATTGCATTGACTCATTGACTCAAATACAATCCCCCACACTAAGCATGCTTGTAGCGACAGTGGAGAGGAAAAACTCCCTTTTAACAGGAAGAAACCTCCAGCAGAACCAGGCTCAGTGTGAGCGGCCATCTGCCGAGGCCGACTGGGGTTCAAGGAGACAGAAGCAGAGATACAAAATGCAGCTGTAAAAGGCGGCCCCGTCCAGGAAACACGCAGCCAGGCAGACGAGCTCCAAGGCAGCTCCCATGCCAGAGGACGAAGAGAGCACATCCACTCAGTCACGGTCAGAGAAACAGGACCAGACTGGAAAACAGGCCGATCTCCAACATCTATAAACAAGGGTGTTGATGGCAGCAGCACAGCTGATGTTTCTCTCCAGGATGGCGTCACAGCCAAACAGGAACAGACGAGGCAAAGCTACTCTGAGGAAAAGCAGAGAGAGCAGAAGCTTAGAGATTGAACTAACAGATTCTGCAGAATAGGAGAACAGAGAGAGAATGAAGCAGAATGATGAAAAAGGGGTCCCTATGTCCTCCAAAAGTCTAAGCCTATAGCAGCATAACTATAGAGATAGCTCAGGATAACCTGAGCCACTCTAACTAGAAGCTTTATCAAAAAGGAAAGTTTTAAGCCTAGCCTTAAAAGTAGACAGGGTGTCTGCCTCACGGACTAAAACTGGTAGTTGGTTCCACAGGAGAGGAGCCTGAGAACTAAAAGATCTGCCTCCCATTCTACTTTTAGAAATTCTAGGAACCACTAGTAAACCTGCAGATTGAGAGCGAAGTGCTCTGTTAGGAACATAAGGAACAATCAGATCTCTGATATCAGATGGAGCTTGGCCATTTAAGGCTTTATATGTGAGAAGGAGGATTTTAAATTCTGGTTCCAGTAGCGTATATAGAGTACAAAGCGTTAGAGCAAGATGCCATAAAAGATAAAAATATGACAGACAATATATAAAAAAGGTATATCGTACAAAAAAGCATAAAATAAGAAAAAAGTTGTAATGTCCAGGAATATGTTTCCCTTAGATATAAAGATATATAGAGCTAACGGAAGACTGCATAGTGGTTGACTTAGGTTATTGCACTTGTTCTGCAGAGATGTATTGACCTTATAAATAAGTTTGAAGACTAGTCAATAAAGGCACCTAAAACAAGAACATATGTGTAAGTTTGATTTAGTCCACTAGGGGGTGGTAGTACACTGCTATTGTTATTACTCTGAAACAGTTGGATTTAATAATGGCTTTTAAATTAAATTTGTTCAATAAATGGGATAATAATGTTGTTTGGTTGGCTTTCTAGTTGCTCCCTAATTACACTCAGCAAATTATTTTATGTCAATTTGCAGATCAATGTTAATAGAAAAGTGATTAATTACAGAACAAAAAGTTGTTTCCATTTTGTCCTTTTTGAGGATATCTAATTAAATATTATGTTAAATTTTCCGTGATGAACCAATAAAGTGACGCTCATCTTTGGAGCAGCCTCTGCTGTAGCTGCAGCGCTGCAGCAGGAGCTGGAAGAGAAACTGTCTTTATTCTTTATTAGGATGGAAAAGATGTCAGAAGCTCCGGAGAAACGGAGCTTTACGCGCTGAGGAGGTGGGATAGCAGTAAGGCTGCAGCACCACAGTGAAATTTGCAGTCACCAGGGCGGTGGTGGTGACAGAGCAAAGGAAGAAAGGAGAGAGGGAGAGGGGAGCAGATACTTGGGAACACATCAGAGCAGGACAGACAGTTGAGTGTGAGGCGCTCAGCCGGCGAAGGACGCGGAGCAGGAAGGTAGGACAGGAGCCCATCATCCAGCTGAGCTTCATTTAGGAAAAGTTAGAAAATCCATTTTTCATTTACTGCAACATTTACTGTCTGTTTGAACCTGCTGTAATTCGTGACTTTTAATTAGATATTTTCTATTTCTATTTACCTTTATTTGAGTTTGGAACATTTATAATAATTTTCTAACAGTTAATAGACAATCTAAGGTGATTTAGGTCCGAAAACAAAGAGTGTTTGGATTCTTGTTAAATATGATGTTGCTTCAGGGTCATTTTGTGTAGTTTGCATAATGATCGTTTGACATTACAGTTTGCTTCAGATCCGTTTCAATGTTGAGATGGTGCGTCTGCAGAGGTGTCAGGTGGACGCTGTGATCTCAGGTAGCCAGGTGCTCAGCTATGGTGGCCCAAGAGTGCCACAATCCAGTTAAAAAGTTGTAAAGTAATTTGAAAAGACGATGATTTGACTTAAAGTTTATATTCAGGTCAATTTAATTGATTTGTAATACATTTTACACAAAAACGAAAAAAGAGCATCCTCTTTAGGCACTTTGCTATAGGAGTAAATCCTATCCACTGATATATAATAAGGTTATGATAATAAAATTCTAAACTTGATATCAATATAACTATTTGATACACAAGGGGTAATTCATTAAAAATCAGTGGGGTCTGTACGGAAGAGGATTAGGGCCACTGGAAAAAAAAAAGAGTTAACTGATTTTTTTTTTTTCAGTATAGTATGGGACAAAAGTCAGAATTCTGACTTTAATGTCAGAATTCTGACTTTAATCTCAGAATTCTAACTTTTTTTCTCAGAATTCTGACTTTTTTTAACCCTTTATAGGGCACTCATTGAAAAACTTTGAAATGTTAAATTTCCATCTCAGGGTGTCATTGTGGTATATATCAATAATAATAATCTGTAATTACATTATTAAAAAAATTTCATTTTCATGCTGAAAATCACAGGAAACGAAGTGATCATATATGGTAACTTGCCCCGTTCTGGTAAAAAAAAATCTAAAAAGAACACAAGATAGAATTTGTTGAAAAAACATGAAATAGTTTAATAAACATTTGTTTAGACCATTTAATAACATTATGAAACCACTTTAACAAGATAATACTTCATAGAAAACATCTAAAATCATGACAGAATATTTTAAATATAGAGTATAATGTAACATTTCATAACAATACAATATAATAATAGGAAAATAGAACAATGGATGGATGTTGCAGTGCCTTACTGCTTTCTCATCATAAATAGAACTTTATCATTTTGCAGTATTTTAGAACCTTCAGTGTCTTAGTGCTTTTTCAACATAAATAAAACTTTAAAATTTTACAGTATTTTAGAACATTCAGTGGCTTAGTGCCTTTTCAACATAGATAAAACTTTATTATTTCACAGTATTTTAGAACATAAATTTATGTTGAGAAGGCAGTAAGGCACTGAATGTTCCAAAATACTGTGAAATAAAGTTCTTTCACAGTATTTTAGAACGTTCAGTGCCTTACTGCCTTCTAAATATCTATTGACTATCTTTATTTAGGGTTGTGGTACTCAGCAAAGCAGTTGCGTGTTGCATTTAGGCAGAGATGGACCTTGCAAACCCCGCAGAAAACATTGGACCTTGCAATGTTGTCTTTCCTGCTGCAGTACTTGCATGTTTGGCGATGAGTGTAGACAGGAACGTGGAACACGGAGTGGTCGAAACGCACAGCCTCAGTGGGGTTGGAGCAGCGATGTCCTCGGACTGGCTTGGGAACATCAAAGGCAGCTCTCAGACTGTCAGAGCTTCTTCCTGAGCGAACTACAGACAGCCTTTGGTTAGAGGCATGCTTGAACACCTCGATCCGGAAGCTTTTCAGAGACTGGCTGTCCAGTTTCAGTTCCTTGCAGTCCCGCCTGTACATCAGCCAGGCATTTGAGATGGCCAGATCAATAGTGTATGCAAACAGAGTATATACCACCTCTTGGACTTCATGGGGGTGCGGTACAGGTGCACCAACATGTCGCTCTTGTCAATCCCCCCCATGTTGGAATTGTAGCTTTTGATGACTGCAGGACAGCTCACAGGTTCCTTCTTTTTGGATTCACTGGAGAACCTAAAACACGATTTTGTTTTATTGATCACCATTAGTGAAATTTGGTGTTGTAACAGCTCCATAAAAAGTGTAAAAATATAAATGAATGGAGGAAAATAAATGGCTAAGTAAAAAAAAAAAATATAAAGGCAGCACTGACATCTACAGGAACAACACAATCAGACAAAACTAAAATAAACAATACCTGTAGACAGATGACAGAGGTTCCACTCCCATGTCTGTCGAAAGCAGAGTGACAACTTTATTGTCCTTCCACCTGAGGACCAGGATCCCATCATCACTGACAACGGAGTGACAGGTCCCACGAGGGACACCTTTTTTCTCCATCTCTGTGATGGACTTTAGGGGAGGATGTCCAATTCTGTTGTCCCTTGCAGTTCCTGTGTATCTGAACACATAAATATGGAATGGATGAATAATGGATCCAATGTAAGTGGGTTACATATCCAGCAGTAAAGTGCAACATAAATGTAATCATTCATTCACTCACTCACAGAAAGTAATTGTTACCTGCAGTTCTGAGTTTTGAGGTACCGGACTAGCTCCAAGCTGGTGAAAAAGTTGTCAGCGAAGATGGCTGTTGTGGTGGAGGATGACATGGTACTGGCCAGGACAGAGACAATCTGGCTGGTGGCGCCCAAGGCTCTTTGTTCAGGTGTCAGGGGGACACCATGGGCCTCCAGCGTAGTCTTGCCCTGGTATAGGACCATGTCATGGATAAATCCATCCTCGGAGGCCCTGGCAAACAACTTAAACCCCCACTTGTCAGGCTTGTTTTTAATATACTGCCTCAAGTTCCCAGCTGTCTTCCCTTTGAAGGCAACCATCACCTCATCCACTGACTGCTTCGGGGTCTGCTCCTCACTTCTGAAGGCACTGCAGAGGAAGGTGAACAATGGCCGGACCTTGAAGAAGCGGTCAGTGGTGCCAGGGATAAGGGTGTTGTCATTGAAGTGGATCATCCTTCTGAGCAGCCTGAACCTCTTTGATGACATGATGTTGGCAATCTGAGGAACCCTGGTGTCCATGGCCCAGTAGTCATCTATAGATGGCAGTTCTACCATGCCCATGTAGATGAGAATTCCTACAAATTTCATCATCTCATCCTCATTGGTGGTGAAGGTGGTGTTAATGTCCTTTTGACTGGCGTACAGGTTGGTGTGATAAGTTATGTGGCTAATGAATTGTGGGGTAAAGTATCTTAAAAAGTACACAAAAGGTTTCCCAATAAAGTTGGGAGCAGAGTGCTGGTACTCAGGCAGAGGTGAATTTCTTAATTTGGTTTTCCTCCAGGTGGTGGGTCTGGGTTTGGGTTTAGTGGGACCCTTAGCTTGCGGTATAACCTGCTCATCTTGATCTTCATTTTCATCCTCATCTTCCCCATCCTGAAGCACCTCCACTGCAGGCTGCACATGTCTCCTCTTGGCAGGAGGACTCATCTCACTTGTGGTGGGAGTGTCCAGGTTGTGGCTGACTGGAATGACTGTATGATCTGGTTGAACTGTAAAGTGCCTTGAGATGACATGTGTTGTGAATTTGGCGCTATATAAATAAACTGAATTGAAATTGAATGTAATCAGGATCGACCTCCACATCATCTTCCTCATCCTCTTCGTCATCGCTGATGGCAGGGTTGGCTGGAACAATCACAACCACCTTCCTCTTTCCATAAAACATGTTTGTTGAAATCTGCAACAGAAAAATATTATAATTATTGTATATTTTTATTACTGCTACTGTCATTATGTGGATAATAATATGCCATATACTTGAAAAGCACTAAAACTAGTCATAATATCACTTATTCAATATAAACAATTAATAATAGAAATAATAATACTATTAAGACATAAAATAACAGTTAAGTGATACAAAATATAATACAAAAACATCCAAAATCACTTATTTTCACCATTTTTAGCTATATAATCTTTAGAAGTGAGATATATATGTGAATAAATCATTATAAAAGCTTCTAAAAGCATCAGATAAGATTCTAATGTATTATTTGTTGGTTATAATGCGTGTTTGGTAAACAGAAACTCAAAAATGTGGCTTAGAAACAAAGAACATATGAGTTAAAGTAGGCGAAACTGATGCAGGTCTGTTTTTACTTGTTTTGGGCATATGCACATATATGTGCTCCCTGTTTTTCATGCTATGATTTCGCCAATTTCCAAAAGTCTCACGAAAAAAACATGTATGTCATCATTTAGTACAACTTCTCAACCGTGTAATGTGAAAGTTTAATAAACTTACCATGGTTAGTTTTGGAGAGCCGAGTGAAAACGCTAGAGAAATCAAGCCCCGAAGTGGTGATTTCCTGCTCCCGGGAAAACACTGACGTTTCGCGCGTCACAGACACGCGCTGATTGGTCGAACGGCGCAATGGCGCGAACCGTAACAAGCTTAGTCCCTGCTGATTGGCTGGGCCAAATCACGTGACTCCACAAGTATGCGCGAGGCCGCAGTGACGTCATTTAGAAGGTCTCCGGAAGTGCTCAAATATGGTAACTTGCCCGATAAAGGGTTAATTGTCAGAATTCAGTCAGAATTCTGGGATTAAAGTCAGAATTCTGAGAAAAAAGTCAGAATTCTAACTTTAATCTCAGAATTCTGACTTTTTCCCATGTTAAACTGAAATAAAATTTAAAAATCAGTTTACTTTTTTTTTTTTTTTCAGTGGCCCTAATCCTCTTCCATAGGTCTGAATAAAGAAAATCAACCAGTAAAGGTCTGGAGACATTTTTATTTATAATCTGTTACTTTAAACAGAATTTAACTGAAATAAAATTAGATAATTATGCATCCATGTTTTTCATTGAATTTTTAAATAAAAAGATAGAAAAAAATAGAAAATTTTTCCATTTAAAATTTTTAATTGTTATTTGA